GTTGGTGCAGGGAGGTCATGGTCCCAACAGGGACCACTGGACACCAGTCCAGCAGCTCTAGCCATGCCTTCCTCTCCTGTGGCACTGCACGACTTCATCTCGGCTGAGCCATCCCCCAGGAGCCTCAGCAGCCTGCCTGGCCCATGTCCTTCCCTCAGCTGCGGTGCTGACCCCTCAACGCTGAGACATCCCCCTCTGCCTTTGTCCCCAGGTGCCGAGTCCTTCGGGTTGTTCTCCTGCGTGATCAATGGGGAGGAACAGGAGCAGACCCACCGTGCAGTCTTCAGGTAAAAAAAAAAGTGCCCCGAGCCTCTCATGGGAAAGCCGGTGCTGCCCTCCCACTACGGTGGGGCCAGCCCTAACCCCAGTGTTTCCAGCTTTTGGGAAGCCCTGGAGACCAAACCACTGCCCACAGCTTGTGCCTTTCCCAGGAGCAACATCTACCCAGGTTGCTGCAGGGGCGAGACCTCTGAGGGCAGCCAGGACCACTCTGGGGAGCAGCATAGGGATACCCTTGCCTTAGGTGCCAGGAAGCTGCCACCTTTTGAGTCTAAACCTGCTCAGATGCTTTATTCAGCATCTCAGGTCCCCATGGCTCATGACACCTGCCAGGGCGCTGCTCGCCTGGGTGGGTGGTGGGCTTTTGCTGGGGAGAAGGCCACCAGCACTGCTGGCCAGCTCGGTGCTACTGCCTCCATGCCCAGGTTTGTGCCTCGCCACGCGGATGAGCTGGAGCTGGAGGTGGATGATCCTTTGCTGGTGGAGGTGCAGGCAGAAGATTATTGGTACGAAGCCTACAACATGCGGACGGGTGACCGGGGCATTTTTCCTGCCTACTATGCTATCGAAGTGACCAAGGACCCAGACCATGTAACAGGTACCGAGCCCCTGCGTGCAGCCTGCTGATGTCCCCCATCTCGTGTCCACCTCTTCGCTGCTGAGCAGAGCCTGGTGCTGAGCAGGGGGATAGAGGGAGGACTAAGCTGGGCACCTGGCAGGGAGCAATGGGCAGCTTCTGGGAGCTGGTACCTGGTGGTGTGGGAAGCCTTCCCTGGCCAGGGAGACGTGCAGGGGTGGGAATATGGAGCGGCGAGGTGTATCTCAGCCCACGTTCCAGGTCATTGGAGATGATCCCTGCTGCGTGCTTTCTCTTGCAGCTCTGGCCAAGAGAGGGAGGACTAAGCTGGGCACCTGGCAGGGAGCAATGGGCAGCTTCTGGGAGCTGGTACCTGGTGGTGTGGGAAGCCTTCCCTGGCCAGGGAGACGTGCAGGGGTGGGAATATGGAGCGGCGAGGTGTATCTCAGCCCACGTTCCAGGTCATTGGAGATGATCCCTGCTGCGTGCTTTCTCTTGCAGCTCTGGCCAAGAGCAGCGACTGGGTGGACCAGTTTCGGGTGAAGTTCCTCGGCTCGGTGCAGGTTCCTTATCACAAGGGCAATGATGTGCTGTGCGCAGCCATGCAGAAGGTAGTGTCCCAGCCCATCCCTGCTGCTCCTGACAGTAGGGCAAGAGTGTCAGTGGGGAAGGGAAGGAAAGGGTGAGCCATCATCACTGCTCACGAGTGCCACGGCTTTGTCTCTCTTTCTTCCCCCCTCAGATTGCCACCACGCGCCGCCTCACTGTGCACTTTAACCCACCCTCCAGCTGTGTCCTGGAGATCAGCGTGCGTGGAGTCAAGATTGCCGTGAAAGCTGATGACTCCAAGGAGCACAGCAAGGTAGTGCCACACTCCCTGCTGCTCTCATCCCTTCACCACCTGCTGGCTCGTGCCCTCCAGGTCATGCTCACATATGAAAATGGGAGGATCTCGACCAATCTAAGGGTGTGAGAAAGACCATCAGAGGGTTTGTAGGCCCACCATCAGGGTCCTCCGTGCCTCACAGGATCACAGCTTTGGGCCTGTAGTAGTTTGGCTGGCAGCCAAACACCACACAGCTGCTTGCACCCCCACTTTTCCTCCCCTCAGGGAATAGAGGAGAGATTTGGAGGGGGTAAAGGTGAGGAGACTTGTAGGTTGAGGTAAGAACAATTTAAAAATTGGAGTAAAATTAAAATTAAATTAGTAATTATAATTTAATATGTATATCTATGAGTGATGCACAGTACAATTGCTCACCACCCGCCCATAGCGATCCCCAAGAGAATCCCACCCCTTTCTGGTCAACCTTCATTAATATACTGACCATGACGTGATATGATGTAGAATATCTCATCAGCAGATCCAAATGACAATTCTGGGTTTTACTAATTACTACGCTTCCCCCCTCCCAGTCCTTTGCACTCGCAAACTACCCAAACACAGTGGCCTTGTAGGTTATCAACATTCTTCTCCTAACAAATCCCACCCTGAAACCAAAGCACAGCTATTCCAGCTACTGAGAAGAAAATTAACCCTATCCTAATGAAACCAGGACAGGGCTGTATCGCCGGCTGATGCTCTCGCAGCTGCCAAGCACGTTGCTGCGCTGGGACGCTGTGAGCTGAGCTGTGCTGGTTAATCTGTCAGCTGCTCCTAAACCTTTCTGCTACTATTTTGAGTGGTGTCCTCTAGATCTGCCCTGTAATCTCTTTAGCTGGCTACGGCAGGCTGCTGATTAGCATTCTGCATAAGTAGCCCAGCAAAGCACGGCAAGATGCGGGGCAGAGGGGAGTGAGGGCTTTGCATAAAGCCTTCGGAAAACCTTCCCTATGGCTGTGGGGCAGGAGGAGTTCCTGGCAGGGGATGCTGGGTCAGGGAGCTGAGGTTTCGCACACAGAATCACCCAGGAGTGCCCTGATTGGAAAAGAGCTTTAAGATCATCGAGTCCAATCATTAACCTCGCACTGACAAGTCCCCGACTAACCCATGTCCCTCAGCACTATGTCTACATGACTCTTCAATCCCTCCAGGGATGGGGACTCCACCACTGCCCTGGGCAACCCCTTCCAATGCCTCAGAACCTTTTCAGCAACGAAATTTTTCCTCATATCCAATCTCAACTGCCCTTGGTGCAACTTGAGGCCATTTCCTCTTGTTCTGTCACTTGTTCCTTGGGAGGAGAGACCAACCCCACCTCTCTACACCCTTGTTTCTAGAAGTCTTGCTTGTATCTAGAGGATGCCATCAACTTGGTTGCTCTTTAAACTTGTATAAGTTATCATTTCTGGCTCATTCCCCTTTGAACACCCAGGCTTGAATCACTTAGTTCCAAGTTATCCATTCACCTTCTAGCTGCTGGTATTTTTGAGGGCCTTTTTAGTGAGAGGTGGGTGCACTGGATGGACAGCAGCACTGACTCTAACCCAAGTCCAGCCTAACTCAGGGCTTCCAGAGAAACCCAGCAGGAGCTGTTGGAAGTCAGGGCAGCTGGGGTGGGAACCAGCAAGGCTGCCTGGAAGATCATCCTGTGTGCAGGTGCTTGGGGCCATCCCAAAACTGCTGCTGGTAGCAACCCAGGATCAGGCTCCAGTTTATTTCACCGCTGAGTCCAAGCCCGTATTTCCAGGGGCTGAAGACCGGCTGGCTCGCAGGGTGGTGGGGAGGAAAGCTTTGACCGTGCCTCTCTCTGTCCCCCAGGTAAACAAGTGTAGCCATTTTTTCCAGCTGAAGAACATTTCCTTTTGCGGGTACCATCCAAAGAACAACAAGTGAGTAGCGGGGAGGTGCGGGGTGGCTCTCGATGCCAGCAGCTCAGCACGGAGGCTTCACTGCCTTCCCAGTCCCTGAGGGCAGCATGGCTGGGGCTGGGAAGGGAAGGGGAAGCTTCCCAGCACCTCAGTCCCCAGGGCTCCCTTTCCCCTGTGAGCCCAGCGCTGCAGCTTCATGCAAAAGCAGCAAAAAAATTCCCTTTGGATGGGAATTCCATTCCAGCTCTGGGCATGGGCCGTGGCAGCTGGTGGCCACGGGGGCTTGGGGGGGTGCAGGTCCCAAACCCCTGTGCTCAAGGGTGGGTGTGCCTCAAGGATGCTGGGGTTGCCTGCTTGTCTGCTGGTCCAGTCACACCCACTCTCTCTGCCCTCAGGTATTTTGGGTTTATCACCAAGCACCCTGCTGACCACAGATTTGCCTGTCATGTCTTTGTCTCCGAGGAGTCCACGAAGCCGCTGGCAGAGTCTGTAGGGTGAGTCCTGGCCGGGCAGGGAAGGCTTGCTCTGGAAAGGCAGGAGGGACGAGGCAGCCAAGCTGAATCTTGCCATCTCCCCATACGTGTGGGGCTTGCACCTGGCCCCACCAGGCTGGCACCTCTTCCCTCAAGCGATGGGCTTGGGGTGAGAACCAGAGCTGACAGGGCTGTGGGCAGCGTATTCCCGACAGCACTGGAACGAGTCCCAGCGCAGGGATTTGCAGGCAGATGGCTGAAAGTCGTGTGCTGTGCTGGGGATCAGAGCAAGGAGGGAGACCCTGCAGCTCCGATGGCAGCTCTGGGTGCTAACCCAGGAGGGGTCAGGGGCTGGCTGGGAGGGTCAGACCACCAGCAGAGCAGGGAGAAAGGGCGAGAAGGGATGTGGGGCTCTGTAAATGCCTGACGGGGAGAGCGCTGCTCAGCTTTGCCCCGGGTGCTGTGTTGCAGGAGAGCTTTTCAGCAATTCTACAAGGAGTATGTGGAGTACACGTGCCCCACGGAGGACATCTACCTGGAGTAGGGGCTGGCACAGGCACCTCCTGCACAGCCAGGGCTGCAGTCTGGCCCCTTCC